GTTCTGGCTGTAGTTCTGGCTGTAGTTCTGGCTGTTCCATCCTCCTGGAGCCGGTTGTTCCTGCAGTCAGTGCTCTCTCACACTCTGGCAGTGTTCTCTGGGTTGGGAGCAGCCGCTGCAGACGCTTTGCAGTCAGACAAACAGCTCCACTGTTCCGGCAGTGCCGGGGCTGGAGYCGCTGCTGCATTGCAGATCCCTGGAGCCATCCCTGGCTCGGCGTCCTCACGGTGGCTCTTGGTGACAGTCCTCTGCTCTAACTTTGCTGCTGGGGGTGTAGAGCTGGAGCTTGACCTTGGGTCAAGGAGATGATTTAACCCCAGGGTGCTGCTGATGGATCATCTTCTCCTGCTTCGTTTTCTGCATCCCCTGAGCTGGGCAGGGATGAGTCAGTGCTCGGTGCTTYACTTGGTGGAACAATGCCTTGCAAAGGAACTTTAATCTTTCCCCCAAGGCAAACGAAATCTGACTAAAGTTATATAAAAATTTTTAAACTGGTGTATTTTCTAACAATTTTTTTGAAGTGATTTGAATTTTAAGTCACTTTTATTTAATTGGTTTAATTAATACTATTTTAAAATTTTGAAGAAGAGAGAGTATAGAAAAATTTTGAACAAGAATGATAACAGAATATATAGAAAAGTATTTATATGGAAATTTTTAGAAGGATGATAATTTTTTTTAGCAGGATTTTATTTATTTGGTTTTTTGGAACTAGGTAGGGAATATTGTTTTTGTTGTGTTTGTGCTGCAGGAGTTCATGGGAGGCCATGTCCTGGGTTATCCCAATATATGGGTGTGGAATGGTTTGGGAAGTGGCACCATCCTGAGTTCCTGTGTCTGCTTCTACCTCGAGGTGGAGTTTGGAGAGAGAAACCAGTTCTGAACATCTGCAGGCTGTGAGGGGAGAGCACTCAGGGCAGATTGTCTTAACAGCAGGATTTTGTTCATTGTTTTTCCCTTTTATTCCTGCACTTCCCATTTCTGAAAGATGGGAAGACCATCYSTCTTARGCCAGGTCAGTGTTCTGARGAGCTCTTGCTGAATGATTGCTGTGGGTTTCCCAAGGCTGAGATCCCTGCTGGCTGCTCCTCACGGCTCCTGAGTCATCCCCTCCCTCACAGGAGCCCTGCTCATGCTTCAGCAGCACCAAAACCGATGCACTCACAGGTTAATTCACGTTCACTGGAGTTTCTCTTGGTGTGCTCAGCCTGGCTAGCAGTGGCAGGGTTTTGTTCATTGTTTTTCACTTTTATTCCTGAATTTCCCGTGGGAAGACCATCCCTCTTAGGCCAGTTCAGTTTTCTGAGGAGCCCTTGCTGAATGATTGCTGCGGGTTTCCCAACGCTGAGATCCTTGCTAGTGCCTCCCCATCTCCTTCACTGGAGYCCTGCTTCAGCAGCACAAAACCTGATGCACTCACAGGATAATTCACGTCTGCTGGAGTTTCTCTTGCTGTGCTCAGCCTGGCCAGCAAACCCACCAGCAGTTTGCTGAGCCSAGTTTCCTGGAGCCCTTCCTAAGAGCTGGCATGGTTCTCACAGCTCCAGGCGAGGATTTACACACGGAATGGAGCAGCAGCTCCGCCTGGGAGAGCTCTGTGAGCTCTTTGGCCCTGGTGATTCGTTGTTCCTTTTGTTCCTTTATAAGCAGAAGCTCTTAATGAGATTGAGATTTCCCCCATGGGTCTCCATGAGCTCTCTGAGCTCCTTGCTGGTGAACATCAGTGTAGGCAAATGCRTTCAGTTTTTCTGCCGTTGCCTTATTTTGAGCATTTGTAATACTTAGATTTCTTRCAGCCTGTTGGAAGCTGCCTGCTCCTGCTGTCCTTGAGAAGAAACTTGGTTGTTCCTGTGCCTTATGCSGACTTTTCTCACAGAATCTGTCAGAATTGACCTTTCCTAGTATTTTCTTTCAGAAAGCTATGGGTTTTTTTTTTTCAGAATTGACCTTTCCTAGTATTTTCTTTCAGAAAGCTATGGGTTTTTTTTTT